GAGTATAGATGCATCACCAGTAGGAGTAAGTCCATTATAGCTGTTGCTAAGATTCTTTGTGACCAAGGCCAGGGGAAAGTATTAATAAACTTCCCCATAGGAGCACTATTTGAACCAAAGAAATGACTAGAAGAAGCTTTTTTGTCCTTTCCCCTTATGGATAATATTCCTGCTATCTTTTTTCCCCATGATTTCTATTCGAATTTGGTATGTCATCTTTCATATGCTGCCTTTCACCTTCTTCACTACTTTATAGTCACTTGTAGTCCAGTTCCTACTTCTGGAGTCACTGTGTGAGACTGGAATGAATTTAACCCCAGTGTCCATGAGCACTTGTGCAGACCGGCGCCAGCGAGCACTCTCTGTGCAGAGCCATGTCCTATGAAGGCCAGAATGGGAGAGGATGCATGAACCTCTGCCCAAATATGCCTATAGTCCAAAATGTACACAGAAGTGTGTGTTGAAGTACATGTTAGTAGTAACTGTAGTTAAGGCATACCTAGTATAAATCTGTGTAATTTGCAACTATGTTCTGTTTTAATGGGTTCTAAGCTATTGATCTTGAACTTTTTTCCTGTTGGATATTAAATTTTACTGGAGGAATAAACGTGTAATTGATTTTCCCCCTTTCTCAGTGTTCACTAAACAATGGCTGTGGTTATAGCAACAGCTAGGCAGGGCTGAGTTTGACAGATCTCTGATTGCAAATATATATGGGGGCACTTCAGTTTATTTTTTCTCATCTTAAAAATGTACTGCCCTAATTAGAAGTCATGGTATTAGCTGTTGCCCAGATACTGTGTTTTCAATCACTGCTTCTCTCATTCTAACAATATTTTGCAAGGTAGATGAGTTACAAGTAAATGTGTCTTAATAGGATGTTCTTTTCTTATTACTTTCTTTGCTAGACAGATAACATTTAAAATCTTCTTATTCTCTTACATAAACATTTTATAGAAAAATGTCATGTTCTCTTAAAACAGAAAAAAGATTATAGAAGTGCCTCAGACATAATTTTTTTCAGAAAGTAAAAATAGCATATTTATGTTTCATAAAACTCCAATAACTATATTACAGCAATTGATACAATTTGATGATTAGTGCAGTTCAAGCTTATTGTTACCAATCATGTCCTTTTTGCTCTTAGCAATGAAATTATCTCCTGCAAAATATTTTCCCATATTTCTTCTGAAAGTGAAATTATTTATGAAACTGTGGCTTAGCAACATAAAGAGAAGGAAAATAATTCCTTTCTCACTTCAAGGGAGGCAGTGGCGTGTAGTTTACTAGAAAGAGCTCTGGACTGGAGTATGGAAACCTGGGTACTGGTTCCAACCTGTTGTAATATAAATGCTTGTCAGATGAACAGATCAATGAATAAAGAAAACCTCTTTGGACCTCAGGTTCCCAGTTATAACACTGAGGATCTGCAGTAGACTGTTCCTATGTCTCCTACCAGCTCTAAAATCCCCTCCCTCCACGTAAGCAGTGTCTCCCTTCTTACTGGAGCCCTTTGCTGAGAAACAGCCCTCTGCTGTTACAAGGGAGTGCCTTTGGTGTGTGTTGGTGTAGCTGTACTCTGCCCTTTTATTGTTAATCTGTCTCCCTCTGCTTGGAAACGTTCCTTACCTAGTTACACAGGAAGTCAGTGATTGGGGCTGGCAGGGAGGTCTTAGTTTTTATACCTTTTCTGATGCTCTCACCTGTGAAATTCGTTGCCCTCAATTATTTTGGTCTGGACCCAAAGCAGAAAATTTCTGTGCATTTTCACATCTGTGCCAAACTCAATTTTTAATGTAATGGGCTATGTACCTGTAAATTAGTTTATCTACAGAAAATAATGCTTTAATGGTTTAAAGCCATACCACACAATTAAATGCATGCTTGATGGACATTTCCCATGTTGTGTTACAGGTCATTCCTATAAATAACTGGCCCAGGAAAAGTTTGCAAGGGTGTAGTTCAACTTGCATGAGAGAGAGTTAGCTTGAGAAAAAGATGGAAAGAGCCCATGAGGATCCCAGTTTATTTTGAATGAGGGTGTCCTGTATAGAGTTATTATTTTGTTTCACTTTTTTAATTTATTGTTTTATTGTTGTTCAAATACAGTTGTCTCCATCTCACCCCACCGTGCTCCCCTGCCCCACCCATCCTCTCCCCCACCCTTGAACCTTGTCCATGTGTCCTTCATACAGTTCTTTGATGGCCTTCCCTTATGGTCCCCTATTATTCTTCTCCCCCCGCTCCTCAAACTGTCAGTGTGTTCTTTATTTCAGTGTCTCTGGTTGTATTTTGCTTGTTTGGTTGTTCTGTTGATTAGGTTCCACTTATAGATGAGATTTCCTCAGAAAACTAAAATGGAACTGCCTTTTGACACAGCAGTCCCACTGCTGGGATTATACCCTAAAGATCCTGAAGCACCAATCCAAAAGAACCTGTGCACCCCAATGTTCAGAGCAGCACAATTCGCAATAGCCAAGTGCTGGAAGCAACCTAAGTGCCCATCAGTAAATGAGTGGATCAAAACACTATGGTACATTTACACAATATTATTTTGTCTTAAATCAATTGCCAGAATACCAGGTATGGTTATATTCAAATTTAACTGATTCAAATGATTATTATACAGGCTCATTAAAATTATATCTACGAAGAACTTTTAATGACATGGCAAATTGTGTATAGTATATATAGTTGATATGGACACTGGCCAGCAGTGTCTGCGGCATTATGGATGAGATATTAGACAAATTCACACTGACTACTGAGTCCTGTGGAGGAAAAGGGATGGCACGGCCACTCGAGAGGAAAGCACTCTGACCCTTACCTTGACAGGCTTTTATTGGTTTATTATAGCATACATCAAAGAAGGTTTCCATTCCTTATACTTAGGTTTGCTTTAGGTAATTACTTTTTACAGATAGCAACGGAAGGAATGTTACTGATTACTTCTTACAGATTAACAAGGAAAAAATGTTGCAGATGCAAGGGAACAATAAGAGTAATTGGTCTGGTTGCACCTCAGTCCTTGGGAGAATTAGCACAGACTTCAGGAAGTTACTTTAAAGATATGCAGTAAGCATTTTCTGCCTGAACTCAGGGTGAGGGAGTTTAAGCAAGAGCAAGTTGCAAAGCAGCCTAGGTACAATGCAGGCCTGATTCCCCGCGGGAGAACCGATCCATGGGTTTGGCTTCTGCGCTCCACAACGCGCCTATTGAGTTTTTCAGTAGGGCTGAGCTACAATTGCCATTGCCAGGCAGATCGGTGCCCTACATATAGTAAACGAGGAAACTGAGAAATGAATTTTTGCTTTATAGTTGATCTCAATTAAAGGAAAAAATAAAAATTAACATATTAACTGCAGTTTTCACTAAATGATGATATTGTTTTATAATGACTTTTCCCCTGCATTTTTACTTTAAAAAACTTGGCTAATAATTTTTGTAAAAATTGAAAATATAAACTACGTTGTTTTTGTTCTCTGTATTATTACCAGTTTGCATTTTGCCATTCCTCATAGAGGAATGGCTCCATAAGAGGAACAATGGAGAGAGGTTCAACTCACCCACACACTGAGCCATAGCAGCGGTGGTTTGTAGTTCAGTAGCATCAGTAATGGGAAAGAGGGGAACAGCAGGGGTGTCCAACTTGTGGCCCATGGGTCACATGAAGCCCAGGATGGCTGTGAATGCAGCCCAACACAAAATCATGAATTTACTTAATACATTATGACATTTTTGTGTTATTATGTGTCGCCGTGTATTTAATGTGTGGCCCAACACAACTCTTCTTCTTCCAGTGTGGCCCAGAGATGCCAAAACGTTGGACACCCCTGGATCACAAGGGTCAGCAAACACAGGACAGAAATCCCACAAACACTCTTATTTGTGTGCCAGGTACTAATTACATGCTGGAGATCTTTGAAGAATAAAATATATGAGTGTATCCGAGAAAAATGGACTGCTGGTCTTTTGGGAGAGACAGGCAAATCTTCGGTGTGATGAAAAGCTGTCTCACAAGGGGCACTACAAGGGGGCTCACACAGGGGGTGGAGTGGTTAACCCCGTGGCGGGGTGGGAGGGGGACCTGGCACTGATGCTTTCGCGTAGAGTTGCTGGAGAGGATGGAGGCAGAGTTGAGTGGGGAAGGCCCAAGGGGAAGTCCTTCGGCATGAAACTAAATGGTGGTTCTGGGGATTATGACTCCTTTAGTCAGGGCAAGCACAGAATATAAAAGAGATCAAGGCCAAATGTGGCAAGGAAAGTGGCGGGAACAAAACCTGGGTGCTGTCTTTGGCTGCCTTGGTCTTGTAAATGAGAAGAAGCTATTACGAGGTTTTAAAGCTGTGGGCTGACATTAAAATTGCATTTTAGAAAGATTACTCTGGTGGTGCTAAGGGGAAGGGGGAGTAGAATGGGGGGGCCGGTGGGAAGCTATCCTAGCGGCCTAGAGGTGAAGCTGGCCTGAGCTGGGACAGTACAGTGAAATGAGGAGGAAGGGGTGGGTTTCAGGGTAAAATTCAGATTAAACAGGCCAATAGCCCTTTGGATGTATAGTGTGCAGGGCGGGGAGACTAGCAGGAGTCCTAGGGTTCTGTGCTCCATAGAGGTATCAAAGGAATAGAGGTTATAGCAGGAGGGGAAGGGAAATCATGAGTTTCAGTTTAGGATATAAAGTTAACACTTCTTTCTTTCCCCCTTTCTTTCTTCCCTCCCTCCCTCCCTCCCTCCCTTCCCACTCATTTAATTACTTAGCCCTCACTGTACACAGGATACTATCTCAATCATTGTCCTAGGGCCATTGTAAACCAGGCCACTTTCCATGTGTCCTGAACCACGAGCGGGAAAGAAGTCATCTTTACAGCCTCAGCTGCTGGGTGTCTCTGACCAGGACACAGCTAGTCAGGCCTAAGACACAAACTGCTTGACTCCTGTCCAATGGCACTGTGTAGTGTATGTGTTTATCCTGGAAACACCACTAATGGCCATTTTCTTTCTAGGTAGTGCCTTTATTTCTGCTGTGTTTCTGAAAGAAAATTTGAGAGCCTCTGATTTACTAGGTAAGTAATTCTTTAAATCATGTAATGATATCACTGCTTCGTCAGGAAATAAATAATACCATCCCTAAACAACATGTGCTTTAAGAACCGGGAACAAATTACTGAAATGGATATAATCTTGGAGCCGCCATCCGCTCTTCCCTGGGACGTACTTCCATTTCCACCGTGCCCACTCCCCTTACTGCTGACCACAGCAAATCATTATTTTAGAGTGTTGTTATTAGGAATTTTATGAAATCTTTATGAGCATAATAAAAATCCAATAAATTTCTCTTCAAAGGATGTGTTTGTTGAACAGTTCCATGAAAGTCCTACATAAAAAGGAAAACCACACACAAAAATGAGATGCACCAGTTAACTACCTGATTTCTATTTAGCTCTCTCCAAAAGAATAATATGGAACACTGTTCTTCCAATTTTTATTTAGAAAAATAGCTGTCAGCGGAAAATCACAGCAGCCTTCCAGGCTGTAAGGAAGATTTGTTATATAGCGAAGCCGTCACAAATTGATTATATTTTCTATCTCTTGTTGGAAATATCATCGGGGAAAAGAATTATATATGGAGACTCATGTTTTCTCCCTTGAGAGAATGTTGTCTGAATGACTGCTGACGTGTGATAATGAGTGTGACACTTCAGGCACTTTGAATAAAGCTGTGTCAATGTGCTTCCAAGGAGAGCACATTTATTTTAAAAATTCAAGCTTTAAATGGGACCTGTGTTGCTCTGTTGAACCTTTGTTTTCTGATTATGTTTGCCTTGAGCCCAGTGTTTTAAATGCGCTTTCACTTTTTTTCTTCCTCCTTGCTTTGATTCTGCTCGTAGAGTGTCTAGTCAAGGCTGTCAAATTCTTCATGGTTAAAATGTTTTTCCAGATGAAGTCATATGTGACCTGTGTCTTGTCAAATATATTGTTTTCTATACTTTTTAAAAACAAATCATGGTGTGTGCAATCAGTTGTATGGAATCAGAAATAAGAATGAGCAATGTGACTTCCGGCCAAGATGGAGGCATAGGTAGAAACACCGTGCCTCTTCGCACAACCAAAATTAAGGAAAACAAAGATTTAGAAACAAAAACACAACCGGAACAGACAGAAAATCTAACTGTACGGAAGTCTGACAACCATTCAACCAGACCAGTAAAAGGGGCGGAATCAGTGGTCTGCAGAGAGGGGTCACGGCAGGAAAAGGCGGTGGCTGCCAGACCCAGGAGTGCAGGCAGTGAGGGGCTAGCAGACCCGGGGCACAGGGAGGAAAGGAGCAGAGTGCACAAGGCCACTGGCTGACCCCGGTCACACATTCTCGCACAGATAAACTAGGGAAAAACAGACAGTGAGACGGACCACGCAGCACAGGTCTCCAGTGCTGGGAAATAAAACCTTAAAGCACTGATTGAGAAGGTGCCAGGAGAGACTCCCAGCCTCACAGGAGAGTTTGTTGGAAAGACCTATGGGGTCCTAGAACACACACAAGCCCACCCACCCAGGAACCAGCACCAGAAGGGCCCAATTTGCTTGTGGGAAGGGGCAGAGAGGACCAAAATCCAAAAGAGAGCAGAACGAACACCATTGTTCCCCCTCTGACCCCACCCCCACCTACTGTGTCACAACCCAGTGACTGCATTGCTTGGCCCTGGTGAACATTTGAGGCTCGACTGCTCATATGTAGCAGGTGTGAACAGACTAAAACATTATGGCTCAAATAGAAGAACAGAACAAAGCCCCAGAGCCAATACTTTTAAGTGACCAAGAGATAGCCAGCCTATCTATCAGATGCACAGTTCAAAACACTGGTGATCAGGATGCTCACAGAACTGGTTGATTTTGGTCGCAAATTAGATGAAAAAATGAAGGCTACACTAAGTGAAATGAAGGAAAATGCACAGGAAACCAATAGTGATGAAAAGGAAACTGGGACTCAAATCAATGGAGTAGACCAGAAGGAAGAAGGAAACAACCAAACAGAAAAGAATGAAGAAACAAGAATTCAAAAGAATTAGGAAAGGCTTAGGAACCTCCAGGACATCTTTAAACATTCCAACATCCAAATTATAGGGGTACCAGAAAGGGGAAAGGAACAGCCACCAAAAACTTATTTGAACAAATAATAAAGGAGCATTTCCACAATCTGGCAAAGGAAATAGACTTCCAGAAGGTCCAGGAAGCTCAGAGAGTCCCAAAGAAGTTGGACCCAAGAAGGAATACACCTAGGCACATCATAATTACATTACCCAAGATTAAAATGAAGGAGAGAATTCTAGAAGCAGCAAGAGATAAAGAGACACTCACCTACAAAGGAGTTCCCATCAGACTGTCAGCTGATTTCTCAAAAGAGACCTTGCAGGCAAGAAGGGGCTGGAAAGAAGTATTCCAAGTCATGAAATCCAAAGACCTACATCCAAGATTGCTCTATCCAGCAAAGCTTTCATTTAGAATGGAAAGGCAGATAAAGTGCTTCCAAGGAGATCACATTTATTTTAAAAAGATAAGGTGAAGTTCAAGGAGTTCATCATCACCAAGCCCTTATTATATGAAATGTTAAAGGGACTTATCTAAGAAAAAGAAGATAAAAAAACATGTATAGTAAAAGGATAGCAAACTCACAATTACTAACAACCACGCCTAAAACAAAAACAGAAACAAACTAAGCAAACAACTAGAACAGGAACAGAACCACAGAAATGAAGATCACATGGGGTTAGCAACAGGGGAGTGGAAAGAGGAGAGAGGGGGAAAAGGTACAGAGAATAAGTAGCATAGATGGTAGGTAGAAAATAGACAGGGGAGGGCAAGAGTAGTATGGGAAAAGTAGAAGCTAAAGAACTTATGACACATGGACATGAACTAAAGGGGGGGAATGTGGGTGGGAGAGAGAGTGCAGGGTGGAGGGGAATGAAGGGGGGAAATGGGACAACTGTAATGGCATAATCAATAAAATATATTTAAAAAAAGAAAAAAAAAGAATGAGCAATGCCTGAGTTTTTTTAATTAAAAAATATAGGACCTACATTATTTTTCTCATTTACCTAATGTCTTTGGGAAACTTTAAATTGTTTTATGTAAAATATGTCATCATTTGTAATTAATGTTTAAATTAGTGTTAAGGTATTTAATGAAATAATATTAATGGATATAAAGGGAGATTTGCTAACTATTGTGACTACTAGTGGTAAAAAAAATGACTAATTAAAACAGAATCCCTGCCCTCAAATCGTCAAATAATATAATTGATATTATATATATATATATACACACACCTATAAATATTTTATATACATAAAATTTTAAAAGCAGGAAATAATGTGTATATAAGGCCCGAAGCCATTAGTTTAGAACAGGGTTTCTCGGCCTCAGCACTGCTGGTATTTTAGGCTGGGTAGTTCCTCACTGTAGCGGCTGAAACTGGGTAGCTTCTCCTGTGCCGTGTAGGGTGTTCAGCAGCATCCCCACTGGCCTTTCCAGATTAGGTGCCCATAGCACCCTCTGCACTGGTTACGATAACCAAAGGTGACTCCAAACATTGCCAAATGTTCCCTGGGTGGTAAAACCGCCCCCCAGTTGATCTTGAATCAGAGAATCTCAGATTCTCTGGCCAGTCGGGAATCTCAGAGAGAATTTTTTACAGCAGAGGCAACATTTGAATCTGCTCTGATGGCTGAATAGGACAGGCAGGGCCCACGTCCGAGCAGTGGTAGGAGCACACACAGAGGGAATACACAATTAACAAAGGTGTGAACAGGTAAGGCAGGTTTCTGTTTAATTCTGTACTACAACAGCTGCCAGCAAGGTTTAGGAAAAGAGTGGATGGAAGGGGAAGAAATAGTAATACCAATATGTGCAGAGGGTTTGATTACAAACTTGGGAAAGTGCGGGACCAACTAAACATACTAAAAGCAATTAATTGGCTCAACATCAAACGAGATAAATTAAACTCACTCTCATGGGTTCCAGTCTGAATTCAACTTCTGCTGCCAGCTGTGTGGCCAGCGTAATATCACTTCACTTCTCTGAGCTTCAGTGTGTTGCCAAGTATTGGAGACTGTTTCAGTGATCGAATCGGGTGATTCACACAAGCACTTTGAGAAATGTCAAGTCCTTTCAATTGTCATCATCTCTATGACCAACTTGACTCCCAAAGGTAAGACTAAAAAGGGTCATAAGGAATAGGAAACATACACATAGACACATGCACATGACTGTACCAAAGTAAAATCTCTACTAATGCTTTGATTCTTTGCTGATTTCACTTATTTTAATAACAGCTAAGCTCTATTAAGTATTTTTTCTTTCCAGGTACAATAAGTGTTCTATATGAATCATCTCCTTTAAATGTGGGAACAGCTCCTTCATAGCACTAATCCTTAGGTTAAATAACTTGTCCAAGGTCATATACCTGGGACACAGCGGGCCAGCACTCTGACGCCGGGGGCCTGGAACAACTGCAGTGACAAGGCTGAGGCTGAGTCGCCCGTGTCAGACACTGTGCGACTCTGCAAAGTCACTGCATCTCTTTAAGCGTCAATTTGCTCACCTTCAAAATGGAGATATTGCCTACCTCATAAGATTAAATTAATGTGTGTAAAACTCTCAGTACAGGGCCTACCACATAATATTATCATTATCATTATTATTACCGTTACTACTACAACCACTGTCAACCATCATCCTACTGGCCTGGTTCATCAGAACAAACCTCGATGCGGCTATTTTTGCAAACTTTCATAATCCAGGTAACATTCCCACAGCTCTGGCTGGGGTTCTGTTCTTTCCCTTCCTAACTTGAGGCTTAAGTTGGGCTGTATAACTGATGCACATTTATTTCATACTGTAGTTAAAAGTGGTCAGCTCTTGGCTTTAATAAGGAACTGTTTAGTCGCCGACTTCATACCCATGTCTCCAACGGCAATGTCACAAGATTACCATAATCTGGGGCATTATAGCCCACTTCATACTTAGGGAACGGTTTTTCCCCAACCTCACTCAGTAATGTATTAAGTCA